ATGGCAGTGTCTCGTTTGGACGTGCACCCATTCGAGCTCCGTGCGATGATAGCAGTGTCTCGTTTGGACATACATCCATTCAAGTTCCGTGCGTTGATAGCAGTGTCTCGTTTGGACATACACCCATTCAAGCTCCGTGCGTTGACGGCAGTGTCTTGTTTGGACACACATACATCTAAATTCCGCGCGTTGATAGCAGTGTCTCGTTTGGACATACATCCATTCAAGCTCCGTGCGTTGATAGCATTAAAATCATTGATTACACTGGCTCAAGTGTGCCTTTGTGGCTCGTTCCGATTTGGGCCGCGGCGGCGTCTGGGTGCGCATGCCGGGAGTCACGCCCGCCTCAGGCGGAGCTGTCCGTGGCAGTGGCGGCAACCGTTTGCAAGCTGCATTGGCCGGCGGTGATGGCGGTGCTTCTCAGCCCGCCACGCAGGAACTCGTCAATGCGATTCTGCAGCTAGGCCATTTGCCTACCCAATCGAGCCGCTCGAGCGCCGAGGAGAAGCGGCTTGCCGCGGGCCTCATCAGAGCACGGAAAGCAGGGACGCTGAGCAGGCAGCAGGAAGCGCAGCTCCGCGCGCTGCAGCCTGCCACGAGGCCTCACCCCGAACACTCTGGTGCCAGCGCCGGCGCCAGCAGACAAGCGCAAGCCAGCACCAGCGCGGTCAGAGTGGATGCAGGCGGCGGTGCTTCTCACACTGCTGCGAAAGGCAGCGGTGCTTCTCAGCCTGCTGTGGCAGCGGGAGCAGGAGCTCTCGCCCAGCAGAAGGCGCAGCAGAATGCAGACTTCAAGCGGAGACAGAAGACCGAGGCGATCATGCAGCAGGTGCGGGGCCTCGGCCGCTACCCGAAGGAGTATGGTGGGCGTGGCTTCGCAGAGCGGCAGATGGGAGAGAAAATTCGGAAAGCACGAAAGAACAAGGAGTTCTCCCCGGAGCAGGAAGCAGAGCTCCGGGCCCTCCAGCTGGCGGACACGAAGACCGAGGAGCTCATGCAGCAGGCGCGAGACCTCGGCCGCTATCCGAAGGAGTCCGCCGGGCGTGACGTCGCAGAGCGGCAGCTGGGCTGGCAAGTCCGGAAAGCACGGAAGGCCAACCAGTTCTCCCCGGAGCAGGAGGCCGAGCTCCTGGCCTTCCAGCAGGCAGACACGAAACCCGACGAGCTCCCGGAGCAGACGAAGATCGAGGAGCTCATGCAGCAGGTGCGAGACCTCGGACGCTACCCGAAGGAGTCCGCCGGGCGTGACGTCGCAGAGCGGCAGCTGGGCTGGCAAGTTCGGAAAGCACGGAAGGCCAACCAGTTCTCTCCAGAGCAGGAGGCCGAGCTTCTGGCTCTCCAGCAGGCGGACACGAATCCCGACGAGCTCCTGCAGCAGACAAAGATCGAGGAGCTCATGCAGCAGGTGCGAGACCTCGGACGCTATCCGAAGGAGTCCGCCGGGCGTAGCTTCGCAGAGCGGCAGCTGGGCTGGCAAGTCCGGAAAGCACGCAAGGCCAACCAGTTCTCTCCAGAGCAGGAGGCCGAGCTTCTGGCTCTCCAGCAGGCGGACACGAATCCCGACGAGCTCCTGCAGCAGACAAAGATCGAGGAGCTCATGCAGCAGGTGCGAGACCTCGGACGCTATCCGAAGGAGTCCGCCGGGCGTAGCTTCGCAGAGCGGCAGCTGGGCTGGCAAGTCCGGGCAGCACGGAAGGCCAACCAGTTCTCTCCAGAGCAGGAGGCCGAGCTTCTGGCTCTCCAGCAGGCGGACACGAATCCCGACGAGCTCCTGCAGCAGACAAAGATCGAGGAGCTCATGCAGCAGGTGCGAGACCTCGGACGCTATCCGAAGGAGTCCGCCGGGCGTAGCTTCGCAGAGCGGCAGCTGGGCTGGCAAGTCCAGAAAGCACAGAGGGCCAACCAGTTCTCCCCGGAGGGAGCAGCAGGCCGAGCTCCAGGCCTTCCAGCAGAAGGAGAGTGAAGCCACAAAAACGGCTCGCATCGCGGAGGCGGAAGATCTTCCAAACCCCATGGAAGGGTTCGCTGAGGAAGCGCAGAACAGGATCGACCAGGACCTGCTCATGCTCGAGAGTGGCATCCGGACCAAGGCAATCCTGCGGCGCCTGGCCACCTACAAAGAGCTTGTGTCCAGCCGCGGTGCTACTCAGCCTGCGCAGCACAAGGAATTCGCGCAACGGTCCGCGGAGCGAGTGCGCAGGGCGTCGGCCGCCTCCGCGGGGAAGAGCTGCTACGTTCCCGGCGGCGAGGTGGAGGGGGACCAGCTGCGCGTCTTCTCCAACCGCCCCGTCATGACGGGCCCGCTCGTGTGCCAGCTTTGCGACTGCGACTTCTTAACAGAGGAAGACTTTGGGCGGCACAAGCGGCACAACCACGCGGGCGAGGCTGAATACCGCGAACGGGTGCTGTCCCTGATGGCGGAGGCCGGCTGCAGGCCGATAACTGAGCAGGAAAAGAGGATCATGGTGCAAAATTTTGCTCACTTCCAGCAGTTCTGTCACCCGGGCAGCAAGTGCAACCGCTTCTCGGGCAACGAACCAGTGCCCCGATGCGAAGCAGCCTGCGTGGTCTGTGCGCAGAAAGATTACCTCGAGCACCGCCACAAACTGAGCCTCTTTGGCGCAGTGCCGGAGGAGCATGTACCCGAGCACGCCGCGGACCGTGCAAGCGACCAGGACGACGTGTCTGAGGGCGAGACCAATGCCCGACCCGCGCGGACCCTGGTGAAGCACCGCGGGGTGCACTACTTGCAGTCCCCAGATCGTGCAGAAGCTCCTGGACGTGGACAGGTACAGGCAACGGTGGCCTTTGATCCCGTACGAACAGCTGCGCGCCTCCAGCGTTCAGCACCCGGAGCACCCAGAGTGGCGGTGGTTGCTGCACTCCCGTCGAGTCCCTGTGGTTGCACCACCAGAAGCAACGACGGGCACCTGCGGTGCTTCTCAGCCTGCTCCCGACAGGCCCGACGGAGGTTCTCAGCCTGCAGACGACAGGCCTCCGTGCGCAGGGGTGGGTGATCCCAGCGCGTTGGTGTGGGTCTGTTGGGATTGCCTGAATGATTTGTGCGCCGAGAAACCGAAGATGCCGTTAAACGCACTGGTCAACGACAACTGGATCGGCCGGGAGCTCATGCTCGTCCGCAACGCTTCGAAGGCTACTAAGATGCTGGCGTCCCTTGGCCGATGCTGTTGGAAGCAAGTCCGCCTCGGCAAGGGCGCCCCGGATGTCCAGCAGAAAGGCATCTCGGGCAACACTATCCTCTTCGCCCAGCCCACGGCGCAAAATCCGACCATGGAGCTGCCCCCGGAGCAGGGCGCGCTTGTGGACTCTCTGAACATCGTTTTCTCGGGCGCCGCGCACAAACTCCACAAGGCGCACTGGGCAACAGTCAAGCGCGGCGAGTATATGCAGATCGTGAGGGAGCGCAAGCAGCAGCGCGCAACCTTTTCCGAGGTATCCGTCCGGGAGGATGTTGCCCCGACACGGCTGCCGGAGGACGGCGTGCCAGACCACATCCAAGCCTGTCTGCAACCAGTGGACGGTGCGGACAAAGCCCCGGCACGTCTGTTGGGGCCAGCATCCAGGGCGCCGGAAGTGGGCAGAGACGACGAGGCGGGAGACGAGTCTGACGAGGAGAAAGAGACAGACAAAGACGGAGAAGCAGCAAAACAGCCTGACATGGCCTACCTGCATGAGAATGTTGCAGAGTTCACAGTTGCAGTGGATCCAGTGCATGACATCGCTCCAGTCCGAATGATGCAAGCGCTGCAAGGCACGCTGGTGGCGCTGCAGGAGCAGGCAGCACGCATCGCCAAGAACGAGGCGACACCGACAGTGGCAGACAGCAGCGGTGCTCTTCAGCCTGTTGCCGACGAAGGCGGCAGGCATACGATGCGCAGCATGGTTCTCGATGTACAGAGTGCTGCTCGTTCGTTCGACGATCGAGCGCAGGTGGTGCTGGAGAAAGCGCAAGCAGTAGCAGACGCGTGCAGGGCTGTGGGCCCGCACTCCTTATCGGTGCCTACGCAGAAACCCTTGAGTTCTTTCGACAGCAGGTCCTGGCCGGCGTGCTACACAGAGTTCTGGTTCGGGGACGGCGCGCCGAACATCGAGCGGGAGCGGCCCATGCTGTTCGAACAGGTCTTCCCCAGGAATACTACCTATGCTACCAGTGTTGATAGAGGAGTCGATCCATTGATCGCAGTGTCTCGTTTGGACCTACACGTGTTGTTCGCAGTGTCGCGTTTGGACCTACATGCGTTGATAGCAGTGTCTCTTTTGGACCTACATGCATTGATAGCAGTGCTCGATGTCATTCGCGGGGACCACAGATTCAGTGTGGGAGCACCCATTCATGTCTCATTCATGTCTCATCCATGTCTCGTCGGCGTCGTCGTCGGCGTCGTCGTCGTCGTCGTCGGCGGCGGCGGCGGCGGCGGCACCGGGCGCAAGGCCTCTCCAATCTACAACTCGGAAAGACCTCCTCGGTGGAGGCGACCCCCGGTGGTCGCGGCGTCGCCTCTCCGCCCTCGGGGGAGGGGGTGGTTTTGTTTCGCAAACCGAACGCATGCTGAAAGCTACACAGACCGATGGTGAGCAGCCGCGCACCAAACCGTGCTTGAGGACACTCGCGCCGAAGAGAACTATATCCTATCAGCCACACCGAGAAGGGGCATCGCTGGCCAGGTTCCCCTGCGCCGAAAAGAAGTTCCCCTGCGCCGAAAGGAGCTGCAGTCAAAACATGCATTAAGGACGGGTGGCAAGGACGCAAGACCCTTGGAGGCCGAAGTTAGGATTCTTTGGCAAGGCAAACGGCTGAGGACGAACCGCAGAGGCAAGGACATAAGGGCACCCTAGGGGAAGGCGCGCGTCCTTACTAGACGCGTTGACTGTACACCTAACAACAATGCGGGGAAAGCAATGCCGACAAGAGCTATACCTATCACCTATCATCTAATCTAGACAGAGGCACTCCCATCACCTATCAGCTGCCGAGGGCATCAGTCGAAGGGCGGCACCTCCTCGCCGAATACTGTCGCCGGGTCCATGGGCGGGGCCTCCGGCTTCTTGACCTCGTCCTCTGCGTGGTAGCGCAGGTCGTCCATCTTCCTGCTGGTCACGGTATCTTTCTTCTCACCCTCGAGCATCACGACCCTCACGTCCTTCCCATTCGAGGCCACGGATTTCACCTTGGCCTTCATGTCCAAGTAGTGATGCGGCTTTTTCGTGCACTTGGCGATGATCACGGTCGCCCCCGGGATAATCTGCCCCGCCGCGGAGGCCGCGGCGGCGGCTGCCGCCGCCGCCGCCGCGGGCGCGGGCGCGGGCGCCGCCCCCGGCTTCTCCGTGGCCCCCGCCGCCGGCTTCTGCGTGGCCCCCGCCGCCGGCTCCTGCTGGACCGCGGGCGCAGGCTCCCCGGCCCCCTTGAGCGCGAGCAGAGCCTTGGCCTCAGCCTCGGACAAACAACCGAGGCAGAGACGACGGAGATGGAGGAGGAAAAATGAATCAGACAAGTAAGGGTTGCCTGCATCTTCTCGTCGCCGAACGCCTTGATGGCAGCCTGCAAGACCGGCGTGTTCACGACCTCCCACAAGCTCTTGTGCTGCTGCGCCTTGGTGGCGATGTCCACGTCTCCCTCGGCGCGCGCCCCTCGTGGACACGCGCCGAGGGACACGTGGATGACGTCCAAGAAGACCTCGGCCACGAACGCGGCCGCCTCCTTCGAGCACGCCGGGCCCAACCACTCGTTCACCTTCCCCCAAGCGACGACCACGTTCCGCACGACCGGGCTCGCGACCGCCTCCACGGCATCGGCATCGACCGTTTGCCCACATGCCTTGGACACCACCTTCGCTTCCACGTCCTTGTACTTCGTGCCCCTGAGCAGCACGCGGAGGCACTTCGACTCATGCTCGGGGAACCACTCCTCGAAGCACTTGAACTGCTTGTCGGCCAGCCGCAGCAGGAAGCCAACGTTCGCAGCCTTGTCATTTCCGAGGACAGTGGACGCCAGCTTGAGCTCCTGCATCCAGTCCGTGCCCCCCGCGGTCCCGCCTTTGTTGGCCGCCGCCTCCGTCTCGACGTTCTCCGGGCACGTGGACACGAGCATGCGTGCCGACAACGTCGTCAAGGTCGCCGCCGTTGTCGCTGTCGCTGTCGCCGCCGTCGCCGTCGTCGTCGTCCTCGTTTTCTTCCGTCGTCGTCAGCCGCCCGTCCTTCGTCGTCGTCGTCGTCCCTGTCGTCGTCGTCGCCGTCGTCGTCGTCACTCTCGTCGTCGTCGTCGCCGCCGCCGCCGCCGTCGTCGTCGTGGTCGTCGCCGTCGTCGTAGTCGTCGTCGTCGCCGTCGTCGCCGTCGTCGTCGTCCCTCTCGTCGTCGTCGTCGTCGTCGTCGTCGCCGCCGCCGCCGCCGCCGTCGTCGTCGTCGCCGTCGTCGCCGCCGCCGTCGTCGTCGTCGTCGTCGTCGTCGTCGTCGTCGTCGGGGTGCCAGGTCAGCTCTCTGGCGCGCGGGCGGGAGTTTGTTCTCCTTGGCGAGCGCGAAGAGCGCTTCGAAGCGGGCCTGCTTGAACGACCGGAAGAAAGCGCAGTCTGTCAAGATTGCCGTCTCTCCTGGGCTGAGCTTGAAAGATGCCAAGTCGACCTCCTGGCCCTCAGTGCTGCCGTGTTTCCAACCCGCCGTGAGCGGCACCTTGCAGAGTGCACTGATCGCTTTGACGATCTTGGGAAGCAGGGATCCGTCCAATTTCTCCGCCTCCTCGAAGACTTTGACAAACGCCGGCATGCACGCCCAGGTGTCGCCCTCCAGCAGCCACTGGACGACGAACTTGAAGAACTCCTTCTCGTGTGGCAAATACGCGGCCGCGCCAGCAGCCCCCCCCTGCCTATCGGCCAACCAGGAAGTAAACATCCGGACTTTGAACAAGGCGTTGTTGCCATCCATTGCGTCGGGGCTCATGTACCGGCCCGCCTTGCAGTTCTCCTTGCACCCCTTGAACAGCGCCGCGGTCCCCTTCCAAAGCTTGCGTATACACATACAGTCGGAGAAGGGGGCTTGCAGACACGGCGACCAGCCGCGGCGACGACAGAAGAAGTGCGAACGCAAAATCGGGCCCCGGACCCCTCCCAGGTCCAAAACGCACCAATTTTCCGGGCTGCGTCCAGCCGTGGCGACAAGGGCCCCCCCGTGGAGACAAGGGCCCCCGTGTGCATACGTATGCGCATGCACACGTATACGTCTACGTGCACGCGCGCACCACGAGAAGCCTTCTCGTGGTCGGGATCGCTGGGCTGCTGTGGCAGGGGGCGCTGGCGCTTGTCTGCAGCACCGCCCGCGCCGTCCCCTGGGCAAGGGCGCTTGGCCCCTGGGTCGTAGCCGGGCTTGGCGGGCGCGGGCTCGCCCTTCCCCTCCCCCTTCCTCGTCTCCTCCTGCTCGGCTGGCTCCACGGTCGGCGCTGCGGCTCCGCTGGAACGGCTCCCGGAGGCCGTGGCCGCGCCCCCCCCGAGCGCCAGCAGCCCCGCCTGCTCCCCCATGTCTCGGGTCCCCGTGACGCCGATGCGCCTCCGGATGGGCAGGCTGCCCAAAAGGTCGCCCGGCGTCCTTGGGATCGCCGACCCTGGCGGCGGAACCGCCCCCCGCCCCTCTGGCCTCGCAGCCTGCCGCGACCCCCGCCCAGGGGGATCGCGGCAGGCTTCGGGCCCAGCGTTGGGGGTGGGTGGCGGTTTCGACCCCAAGACGGGCCTCGAACGCCCAGTACGTCTCAGTGTCCACCGCCTCCTTCACTTTCCACTCCGGCACGAGCCTGCGGAGTCGAAAGGTTCCCAGGGGGCCGCCTCGCGCGGGGCGGAGCGGCCCCCTGGGAGCACCCCAAACCACCCCGGACACCTGGCCATTCTCAGGCCGCTCCCGAGGAACGCACTATCTCTGTAGAAAGTAATGTGACAGACCCAGGATAACCACTTCCTCTGAGCAGGCGTGGGTGTCAGATCTGCTTTTGGCTGCAAGTACACCATCTGTTCGTCAGTGACGAACCCAGTCACCTTTTTCGCCCAGTCCTTGAAAGTGGACAGGTTCACGTTAGTCACCCCCAGACCTTCAGCAATGCCGATCATTATCCTCGTCCTCCTCCTCTTCCGCCTCCTCCTTCTGCTCCTCTCTCTCTCCCCCTCTCCCCGCAGCGTACCCGTTTACCCTCCTTCCTTTCTTTTCTTCATCCCTCCTCCTCCTCCCTCCTCCTCCTCCTCCTCCTCCCCCTCCCCCCCTCCCCTCCTCCTCCTTCTGCCCCTCCTCTTCCCCCTCCTCCGTGCCCTCCCCAGCACGGCCGGAGATGCGAAGGACGGGGTTCGGACTTTTCATCGCAACCACGAGGCGCAAGTTGTTCTCATCGCTGGCATCGACCTGCGGGCACCTCTGCGAGAATTGCCTCAGTGTCCGCCGGGCCCCCCTCGCTTTCGGGCCCGAAGTGGGCGCGCCGTCCACCGTGGCCTTGATCTCGCCGGCCAGAGGCAAATGAAGGGTCGACATGCCACCCACACGCAAGCCAGACTTCAACCCAACCGTCTGCGAAGCCCCTCTCGGGCCCGGCTTGAGCCAGAATGGCACGGTGCCCCAGGAAAGCCTTGGGTGCATCATGCGAGCAAGAAGTCTCCCTCCTCCCATACCAGTGCTTGCACTTACGCTCACCCGCATGGGGGCTTCTGCGCCTGGGAACGGGGGGGGGCCTTCCAAGGCGGCCCAGCCCCACGCGGCACACGGGCGAGCTCAGCTCGCCCGGCACACCCGCCCAAGCGGACCTTCGCGAAGCTAGGCCGCCGTGGAAGACACCCCCCCGTTCCCACGAGCATGCGCCGCATATCGTGATTGATAAGTTTGCGTCGCATGGAACGGCCCGCATATATTGCACCACATATACTGCTTGAACACACTGTTTGGGGCCCACTGTGGTCCCAATGTTTGCCGGAATCCAGGGGGCATTCCGTGACACCAGAGGGGGGGGGTATTCCGTGACACCAGGAGCTGTGGGAAGCGAAATCCGGCGGGGCATTTTGAAGCAAATCCTCTTCTCGACTCCATTCGTCTCCATGCATTTCTCTCGCTTCTGTCTCTCCCTCTGACGTACTCTTCTGTGCCCGAGCTGGGTGTTCGGTCGGCGGGAAGGTCGTGGAGCCGCGATCGCAGCAACAGGTGTTTAAATACCGGGAGCTCCAGCCTGACCGCACCATCCAAAGCATCTCTTCCAGGCCTTTCCTGACAGATACTGATCACGATAGCATCGGCGACGCACCTGTCCTCCTCCTCCCCCCCCTTTCCTCCTCCTCCCCCTCCCCCTCCTCACCCTTCGGCCTGTTCCACGGGCCTGGGGTCTTCCAAGGCGGCCCAGCCCCCCGCGGCACACGGGCGAGCTCAGCTCGCCCGGCACACCCGCCCAAGCGGACCTTCGCGAAGCTAGGCCGCCGTGGAAGACACCCCCCCGTTCCCACGAGCATGCACCGCATATCGTGATTGATAAGTTTGCGTCGCATGGAACGGCCCGCATATATTGCACCACATATACTGCTTGAACACACTGTTTGGGGCCCACTGTGGCCCCAATGTTTGCCGGAATCCAGGGGGGTATTCCGTGGCACCAGAGGGGGGGGGTATTCCGTGACACCAGGAGCTGTGGGAAGCGAAATCCGGCGGGGCATTTTGAAGCAAATCCTCTTCTCGACTCCATTCGTCACCATGCATTTCTCTCGCTTCTGTCTCTCCCTCTTCCGTACTCTTCTGTGCCCGAGCTGGGCGTTCGGTCGACTTCTGGTCGTGGAGCCGAGATCGCAGCAACAGGTGTTTAAATACCGGGAGCTCCAGCCTGACCGCACCATCCAAAGCATCTCTGCCAGGCCTTTCCTGACAGATACTGATCGCGATAGCATGGGCGACGCCCCTGTCCTCCTCCTCCCCCCCTTTCCTCCTCCCCCCCCTCCCCCTCCTCACCCTTCGGCCTGTTCGACGGGCCTGGGGTCTTCCAAGGCGGCCCAGCCCCCCGCGGCACACGGGCGAGCTCAGCTCGCCCGGCACACCCGCCCAAGCGGACCTTCGCGAAGCTAGGCCGCCGTGGAAGACACCCCCCCGTTCCTCCTTCTCCTCCCCCTCCTCCTCCTCCCCCTTCGGCCTGTTCGACGGGCCTGCCCGCGGGCCCGGCCGGCTCGCCTGCGCTACTTGGAGGCGGGGAGGAGGATTGTTTTTCCTAGTCTTGAACCAGGGATACATTCCCCAAGCGCTTGCACTTAGGTGCTCTGATTTCTCTCACCCGCATGGGGGCCTCTGCGCCTGGGAACGGGGGGGGGGGGTCTTCCAAGGCGGCCCAGCCCCCCGCGGCACACAGGCGAGCTCAGCTCGCCCGGCACACCCGCCCAAGCGGACCTTCGCGAAGCTAGGCCGCCGTGGAAGACACCCCCCCGTTCCTCCTCCTCCCCCTCCTCCTCCTCCCCCTTCGGCCTGTTCGACGGCCGTCCGACGGGCGTTCGACGGCCGTTCGACGGGCGTTTGACGGCCGTTCGACGGGCGTTCGACGAGAATTCGACGAGAATGGACGTGCGTTCGACGAGAATGCGACGAGAATGGCTCGGAATAGCAAGAATCGCCGCATAATAATAAGAATAGCATTCATGCGCCATTAATGTATTATCAGTGTCGCATGTGTGTCTCGTGGTCCTCCGTATCCTCCTGCTCTTGCTGCTGCTGCTGCTGCTCCTCCCCCTCCTTCTACTCCTCCTCTCCTTCATCTCTGACGATGGTGACAACATTACGAACGCTTTATGTGCTCACAAAGCCTGCGGGCACCAATCCCGGATCCTACTGTCTGCCTTGGGGTGCCCGGTGGCTGGGCCGGGGAGAGCGGCCACTTCCCGTGTTAGCGCCTCAATCTCAGCCGCCACCCACGCCTTCCGGAGCGGCGTGGCCGCAGCAAATCCATTGACCTGGAAGCGAAAGATCATCCAAGCCCGAAGTACGAGCTCGGTCCTCTGCCTCTCGCGGCCGTCAGATCCGTGGTGGCTGATGGTGGCTGTCTTGTGCCTTTGGTGGGCTTTCCCCATGTCCTCGGGCCCTGTCCACCGGGGGAGGACGCTGATCTTCATGTCAGGCCACATCGGGTTATGCTTGCACGAGAAATAACCATTATTCCAGAGAACGTACGTCCCTGGGGACGCCCGATCAGCCCCGTCTTCGTCGTCCCCTCCGCCTGCCTCCGCGACAGCGTCGTCTGGTTCTTCGCCGTCGCCACCCTCGCCCTCCTCCGCCTCCTCGGCGGCCGAGTCCTCCATATCCGACAGTACCTCTTTCTCGTCCTCGGGCGGGAAGCCGGCGTCGTCCTGGTCCCCGGTCAGCTCCGGAGCCTCATCGGCGGCCTTCGCGAGCAAAGGGTTCACGCGGACCTGCTCCTGCGGCGGCGGCAAGCACCGCAGGCGAAGCCCCCCCATGCCACATGTCGTCTCCACGGAGAATGTGAACACGCGGACGGCCTCTTCCCGACGGAGTCCCTGGTGCCTGGCCTCGAGCTCCTCGTGCGTCAAGAAAGACCGCCTGAAATCAGTGTTGTAGCTCAGAAAGTAGCGGTTGGACCCCACGGGGTCGTTGTGTAAGAGCAGGTAACGGCCCTCGCCATTCAGAACAGCAAAGAACACCACCACTCTCTCACCAGGTCCATTCCCCCACAGGATGGACGCGTAGCCGGACCGTAAATGACTAATCTTGCGCTCCCATACCGGGGCGTCGCGGCACCTAGTGGGTTGCACGCGCGGCCACGCAGACGGTGGCAAAGCACTCAAGGACGGCCGGGGCACCAAGCGGGCGCTCAATTCGCGCCTGGCGGCGCGAATGGCCTTGTACATGTCTGAGAAGACGACCTCGTTGGATTCGAGCCACTGCAGCCAGTCGCTCTGCGTTGTCGGAAGCACGCTCTCTTTGGCAAGCGCCATCAACCGACGGGCCTCCGCATGCGCAGCGTCGACCTGGGCCCGCAATTCCCCACGGTGCTGCTCCGCGAGATTCTTCAGGGCATCCTGGTCGCCCTCGTGAACCAGATCGCGGCTGGTGGCTGCCTCCGCCACCCCTGCGCCGAAGCGCACGCCTCGCGGGCGCGGCACCAAGTGTGGCCACCGAGCCCTCGCAAAGCTCCACAAGTTCTGCTTGCGAAGCTGGTCTGCGCGTCTCTGGAGGCCCAGTCTCACGGGGAGGAACTGCTCTCGGCGAACGTGGTATTGGTGCAACAGTTGGTTCCGAGATGCAGTCGCTAAGGTGCGGGCTTTCTGGTTCTCTGGAGCTGTGTCCTGATGGTGTTTCCTCTCGGCCTCCAGCGACGTCACGAGCGTGGCCTCGAGGACGTGGTCAATCTCCGCCTGCGCCTCGCTGCTCTCCAAATAAGCCGTCGCGTCCGCGAAGCCTCCCTTGGACAGCGCGCGGGCTTGCAGACCCAGTGTGAAGCCCGCGTCCAGGGAAGCGGGCTCCTCGGCGAGGAGCGCTCTGCAGCCAGTGGGGTAGCCTTGCCAGGGAATGCCCGCGCCAGGAGGCACAAGCAAAAACCATACTCAGAATCCTGAAAGCCAGACGTCCAGAGACGCTCAGGAACGCGGGAGGACGTCCGGAAACCTCCGGATTCCTCTGGACAGACGACGACCGCGACCACGACCACGACCACGACGACAACGAGGTTCGACCCCTGCTTGCCGAGAGGGTTGTGCGCGCGGGAAGCCTCCCACAGCTTGCCGGGGTACCCTGCGTACTTCTCGAAACGGACAACCAGGTGCGACTGGACAACGAACAGGGCGCTCGCGCAGGCCCCGACGTGGAGCTTATCATCGACGGGCAACAGCGGGAGAAGTCTCTGCAGGTGTGCGTTGGTCTGCTGTTGAACGTGTCCTTGCGCCAATCTGACCAACAAGGGCCTCTTGTCGTTCTCTCGAAGCTTTGTCTGGGCAGTAATCCTGACGGCATGGTCGGTGAGCTGAAGGCAGAGGCTAGCTCTCCGCAGGTCTGGTCCAGTTGCAGGTGCAGCGAAGAAGTCTTTCAACAACTTGCAGCGCTTCGAATTCTCTTGGGCCGGTCGAAGTCTGGCAAGAGTGAAGAGAGGCTCTGCGATGCACAGCATGTCCATCAAAAGGAGAGACCACACGCAGGGCGCGAAGCTTCGGACCCCCACACAGGAGTGGCCAAGCCTTAAGCGACGGTTCTCTTCGATGGCAAATCCCCCTCCCGTCGGGATCCGTAGAATGAAGACGATCACAAAATGCTGCTTCTCTTTGAAAACCAAAGTTCAGCGTGGCCAACGCCTGGGCCGAAAGGGCGAGATCAACAGAGGGCGGAGGGGCAAGAGGGGGCGGGCGGGGGCGCCTCGAGCCCCCCGCCGTCTTACACCGCGCGGCGCGGGATCGCGCCAGCGAGTGCGATAAAAAGAATCTCGTGGTGATGGGCTTGGACTGCAATTTCAAGACCATCGGCATCAACACCTTGAGGAGATCGCCGCATACAGATGCCCGGCACGT